TACATGAAAACGCGCGATTGAAATCAAAATATTTCAACTCACATGTGAAGTTAAAAGATTGAGCTTTAATTTAAAACACAGATTTGAGATTTCCGCGCATTAATTTATTAACAACTATAATCTGAAATACTCTTTTATGTGAAACACACTTTTATGTGTAAAATACGCAAATTAAATGGCGGCAGTTGAGCTGTCAAAATAACTGTCAAACAGCTCTTCGAAAGTTCGAATTTCCTGCTCCCCAATTTTCGGGGAAAATGCTGCTCCCTGGCAGTTTCGAATAGGAGGATTTTATTCTCGAGAAAAGTAAAATCCACGAGAAATGAAATCCTCGGGAATATTCAGAATTGGGCTGATATCGCTCACATATTCCGATTAGATTTTCCCCAATAACAGTTGGACTGCTTCTGAACACATCTTGATGGCCGCAACAAAAACCTTTATTTGTATAACGTGCATCCATATTGGTAGCAAGAAATAGGCTATCTTACAAAAGCTAAATTGTTTGTCATAGCCTACGACAGCGCCGACATTGGGTTGTTTGTAAAATTGCGACGCATATGTTTCAATGGTGGCGTGCATCACATCTGGACCGACTTGATTATGCGATTTAATACCTGCCGCATACATTTCTGTGACCAGAGTTTCGCTGCCAATCACATATGTATGTATACGTACAACAGGTACCCTTCTTGTATGCGGCTGTTGCATGTGCCAAACAAATCATCTCGAACACGCACTTTGCTTATGTTCGCCATCTGCAATGATCGTATTAAATAAGTTTAGCCATACCCTCACCTCATCGGCTGGTTGAATAATCAAATTCACGCAACGTTTCCGCGATGTTCCCTTTGAGGTGTTTCCAATTTTTTGGCAAATGGCTTGCTGTATTCATGGAAATATTTTTGTATATATGCCCGAGACTGTTAATAAATCTGCACACCTGAGTTGGTATTCTCATTGCTATAGTTTTCAAAAGATTATTGCATAAACTTTAAAAAACTATATGATTTGACCGGTTTTCAAAATATTATTCAAAATTGATGTTTGTTTGGTCGCAAATTTTTAACGGTAAAAGTCAATGAATGAAATTTTTTGATAAAAATTTAGGCTATGGCTAAAGTAAGAAACATTGGAAGATGGTTATTGACTAGATAACGAAAAGTTAAGTATGTTTGTAAATTTACTAAAAATGCTCTCAGATATCGCAATTAAATTTTTTATGTCTAAGTTTTTTTTACTTCATGTGTTTAATTTTTTATTATGATTTTTTCGTCATTAATGATACTTTCATATATTTTTTTCTTAGACCCTTACACTAAATGTTAAAGTATTTCGTTTTGATTAAATACTAGTTATATAAAAGAAAACGTCACTTTAAACTAAACTACAATAAAATAAACTAACGGTAATTTTGAATTAAGATATTTCGTAAATATTTGTATTGATATCTTTTTTATTTCGACTGTCAAATTTTGGCCCAATAAGGCTGCTGTGCAGCGCTCTTGACACAATGGTAGTTGTAATGCATAGATAATTTCCTTTTCCTCTGACCCATATGATTAAAAAAAAAATATATATATATATATATATAATAAACGATCTGCTCCAGCGTTCTTTTCAATTAATGGATGTGCAATTTACCAAATATCTGTAAAACTACTGAAATTTTTCTGCTGCATTACCTTCTGAAAATTGCTCAGTATGTACATTAGGGTGGTCCAAAAAATACACGTGAAAAAGTAAAGTTCTATACCGAAAAGAATTATACCCCTATTTCTTATTTTAAAATCAAAAAATATTTAGAGGTCACTTAAAGCGCCCAAAGCTGTCCATGTATTTTGTGTGGGGGAAAAACAACTTTTCGTAGAAATGGTATAGAATTCTTAAATATTAATATTTTTCTATCGGATAACTCTGTTTCTCTGAAGCAGATCAATAATAATACTCAATTGTCATTTTTTCATCGCAACTATAATTTACAGGTCCGCCAAAAACCATGAAAAATTCAACGGGGGGACTAATAAAAAATCGTTAGTATTACAACATGGTTAAGTTAACAATTGGGTATTATTATTGAAAGACCCCTGAAGATAACCAGAGTTTTCCGATCGAATAATATTGATTTTTAAGAATTCCATACCATTTACACGTAAAGTGTTTTTTCCCCCACATAAAAATACATGGAAAATTTTGAGCGCTTTGAGCGACCTCTAAATATTTTTTGAATTCAAAATAATAAAATTATAGTTTAAAAAACTAAAACCTCGCTATTATAATTTCCATTCGCACCGTCATCAGGTATGTAACTTGAGAATAGAAATCGCTGCATCTTTTAGGCGCATCAATTTTACATAGTTACGTCTCGAGTTAATAAAAGGGAGGTAAAAAATAGGGGTATACTTTTTTTCGATATAGAACAATCATAGGGGGTGAGAGCATTACAATTTTGACTTTTCTGTTTTTGGACCACCTTAATGTACATATATCAATTATGGGGAAATTTTAAATTATATTTCAATAATACATATTTAGTCTTAAAAAGACTCCGCACAGTAATTTCAGTAGGAAATTGTTTTCAGTTTTTTTCACTTGATTAGAATAAATAATTTAATTTGCAGTGTTTTGAAAATAAAAATTCATTTATAATTAAACTAAATATTAAGTTACAATTATTAAATCTAAATAAGAAAATTGCAATTGCAAAATAAAAATTTGCGGTTTTCTCTTGTTTGTTGTTTTAGTTTGCTAAGTGTGAGGATACAAAATGTGTTTTTGTGTTTTTAACTTGCTATCTTAAGTTTCAGCGTTGCGCATGAAATTTGCCTGCCTTTTGATTTCCCTTTTACAACTTTCTGCTGCTTTGTGTGTTTTCTTTTTACTTTCACAGCTATCTATTGCTTCCTCCCTAGAGCATTAATTGCTGTGATATCGTGCCCATGTCACTTAACATTGGCGCTGGCGCCATTTGTGGTTGTTGCGGTGGTTGTTGCATCGCTGCAACTGCGCCGGGCAGCACATTTACGCCACCACCCAATGTGCCCACACTGCCACTGCTGCCACCCATTGGTGGCATGACACCTAGCGAAACGATGCCCGAACTACCCCCACCCACACCACCACCTGTGCCAATGCCTCCACTATTGCCACCTGCGACAGATCCAGCAGCTGAGGGTTCTGGACTGTGACTTTTCTTTTTACGTTTCTTTTCTTTTTTTCGCTTCTTTCGCTCCTTATCGTCCTCATGACGCTTTTGTTTTTTGTGTTTGCGTTCATAGGTTTCAAGTCCAGAGGAGTCTGTAAGTAGAAAAAAATTCGACTTAGATCGCTTCTTATATGGATTTCTTCGTTGGTTATACCCATCAGCGATGTTTCTTGCGGCGCAGCGCCATCTTTGTGTTTGTGTTTTTTATGCTTGTTTTTGTGTTTTCGTGCGGGTGTCGTATTTAGCGCACGATACTGTTCAGGTAGCTATACGAAATTTCGGAAAATTGTTAACAATATTTCTTATAAATAGAAGAGATGTAAGCTATCGAAACTAGTACTCACAGGTCCAGGATGCAGCCGGAAGCCAGCTAATTGTACGGCAGTTAATGGTACCAGCTCCTTGCCACCAATGGGTGGTTTCTCAATAACGCTACGCAGTGTGCTGTTTTCCTGCAATAAGAATTAAAGAATAGTCAATATCAAAACTTAATGTGATATCACACCACATTTGCAAAAAAAACAATGCATACCAGATTGCTTGTAGTGTCGTAAATGCCAGGCAAATTGGGTAGAAAGGAAGCCAGCGACTCCTTGACTTTTTTATCCTTAAACTTGGTCAGTGTGTGATGCAGCCCATATTCGGTCATTAGGTCTTTATCACCCGTCAATTCGCCTTTGCCTTTTAATGACAAATTGATTAATAATGCAATGTTTAGATATGATTCTCTCGTTTTCGTCACATACCTGGTGGTTCCTTCATTGAGTAAAAGGGCCCCGTCTGTATTATTGTGGGCGTTTTGCCTAGTGATATTGTAGTTTTTAGAGTGCCCGATGAATCTTGCCTCGATACCACTGGCGAACGTCCACCATGTGGCGAAGATTTTGG